CCACTTATCACGCTAAACGTATCGTACGCTTAAAAAGTCGCCGAACACGACAATGTAATATTTATATCGAATATCTATGACGTTATGCGACGGAGGATTTTCACTTAAAAAACTAATACATTACACGCGAGTGAGAAAAAAATCGCGTGTCTATAATGTTAAAAATATTAATCGTCGCTTAAAATTCGCGTATAAAAAAGATTTTCGAGTTCCACCCGACCGGCGTATTACTATTATTGTTGTTGTACGTCATTATATATCATTCTAATAAATTACGGTACGGAACAAAACGCTAACCTTAAAAATTATAATAATAACATGCAAAACGCACGGAATATATTGTTTATTTCGACCGTAAATATTAGTGATGAGCGCTTAAAACGAGAACGATTTGTTCATGCGCGCGCGCGCGCGCCTTTGAGTCGGCGCTTGACGTTTCATTCGCACGGAGCGTTCTATGTTCTGTACGTAGTTCGGTGTATAAAAGTTTCGATTAATGTCGTAAATTTTATGTTTTCGAAATTGGCCCATGCTTCCGGTTACGTTCTTCTGCAGGTTTATAATACAATATGGGTACAGACTTTTCGTGTAAGTATCGATATTGACGTCAACGCGATACATTTGGACCGGATGCACAATTATTTTTCACGCGACCGATTTCGCCGTATCGATTTTTGTTACCTTACTGCGATCCGCGGTTATAGTAACAATGCAATATCAAAAAAGTCAATAATATTTACGTTAAAAAAAAAAAACTCTAAATACTCCGATACTGTCGATTGGTGTGCCACTGTGTTTTATAGGAGGGCAGTAAAAATTGAAAACGGGACGCACTCGGCATATCCCCGAAAGGAAGGTTATCTATAGAGTAATTTAATTGATGTGTCGGTACGCGACGATAAACCGTTGTTAGCGAACAAGCGACCACGAGCAGAAAATTATTTGTCGTATTTTTCACTTGTTGCCATAAATTTTCAAAATATTCTGGTGATTTTCGAGCTATTTATAAGCTTTGAAACTATCTAGTTTTTTTCAGATTTGATTAGGTTTTATATGTATACAATTGTTTACTTAAAATGCTTGAAAATTTAGCACGGGCTTAATTATAAATAAAATTAACGTACTTGGTATTAAAAAAAAAAAAAAATTGAATTTAACGTAATATCAAATAAATAGCTCGTAGATTAGTTGAAATTTACGATTAAATGAAAAAAAAAAACCACTCAACAAAATACTCTTGTAGTTTTCGACCGGGCCGGGGTCTTGCACAGGAGGATGTACACCCTGAAAATCCTTCGACCGCCCCCGGTTACCTATATAAAGCTGTACCAGCCGACTATATAATACGCGGGTTTGTTCGAATATTACGACCGCGTAAATTCCGGTATAGGTAAATATAATACGATAGCGCGCGTGTATACACAAATTACTGTTTCCTGATAATAATACGATACCGGAGAGACGGCCGGTAACCGCCACCGCGGTAACTGCACACCCGGTGGCCAAAGCCGAACTCCGACACAAATATACGTACAATATTACTATTATACACACATTATAATACGCGTTCCATCCGGTAGGTCCGGGCCTCCTCTTCCGGTGGCGGTTCTGTCCGGGACAATGTATAATATTATATAACGTATAAACGATACGGCCGGTGTGCATACAGAGTGTTGTGTGTACGCATGCTAATGATAATAACACTCGTGCGCCATGTGTACACGAGCCGCGACTACGAAGAACGCCGACGCGGCATAAAAAAAAAAAAAAATAAACGTTTTCCATTATATTAAAATATTATATTTTTCGTCGTTTTCGTTTTATTCACGCGGTATTGTTATAAAAACAAAAATACCCGATACACCCGGGACCGCCACTGTTATAGGCGGGAAGTCGGGACGGTAAAATGCGCCGAGTTATTTAATCGATAACTGTATACAGCGATAAACCGTTGCTAAAGAAATACGATTCCGAGATCGACGTTCGGTTATAAATGTTTTGAAATGGCGTGATTTTTACTACATATTTTTGTCGAAATTCGATTGTCCCGGACGATGCTTTTATTTCGTGAAAATTGTCTTTCTGCGTTTTTTTTTTTTTAGAAGTGGACAGGTCTTGTCGATTACCGTGAAAACCGCTTGGAAAATCGAATAATGACCGCACCAGCGCGTAGTGCATTAACTAGCCGCAATATGCAACGAAAAGATCTTTTATCGTTTTTCGATCGGAGCGAGAATTCCGGTAGAAAAGCTGTTCACAAAGACAGATAGAACGGAACAAGAAAATGAGACAAACATACTTCGTACGCGGATGGCCCACTGTTGTAGGCGAGAAGTTGGGAAGGTAGAGGGGAAATTTAATGTACATCTGTCTACGCAACGATTAACCGTTGCTAACGAAAAAACGATTCAGAGCGGAGTTCGGTTAATAGTGTGGCTTTGATAATAATATATGGTAAGATAATTGCACATGCATTGTATATTTTCTTTAACAATATATAGTCGACTCTCGATAGTTAGATTTTGACGGGACTCGAATTGCTGAGTAGTTTGAAACATCGAGAGCTAAAAAAAAATTAGAATTACTAAGAGTTTTGAAAAACGTTTTGTTTTTTTTCTTATCAAAAAAATATTAAACATTTCAGCAAGTTAGCGTTACTTTACTTTATAACCAACAAAACGAAAGTAAAATAAAACTATAGTCGGCTTTCGACGAGTCAAAATACGATAAGAGAAACGATTAAAAAACAAAATGCATACGATAATGTACTTAGGATAACGATTCAATAGTTATCGAAAATAGTAATAAAATAACGGAAAGATTATAAGAAATACATTTGGTGTAATGTATTTCGAAATGCCGAACGTTGAACGGATAAAACTTCGAATTGTTACGTGTTAATGGCCAGTTTTCCCAAAATTCAATTTCGAATTATCTAGTGTACTTAAATGAATTACCGCGAGATTTTCGAGAGAACGACCATTATTTACTTCGAAATACCGAAAGTTTCGGATTATCAAAGGTTTAAAATTATCGAGAGGAGTTCACTGTATTTGTTTAGTATTGTACGTATTTTCCCATTTTTCCTACGTTTTTCCCGGTTTTTCTCATTTATTATAAAAACAGTTTGGGGAATCAAAAAATGTCCACCTCGAAGTATCACCCCGGTCAGGTTTACTTTCAGAAAAACTGCCGTTATTGTAAATCGGAGCAAATACGTGCTGGTAGAAAAGTTGTCCACAGAAAAAAAAATAAACATCATTGTAAAATCGCTCCGCTCAGATTCTAAAAGCACACGATATTGCAGTATAATAAAACCAATACTACGTTGTTCACTAAGCTGAGAATTAAAAAAAAAAACGAATATACCGCCACACGTCCGAACGTCCGACCCGGCGACTTTACCGCACTCTCTCTCACTCAAAAAAAACATACATTTTTAATAAATTTACGCACGTGTACGTAAACGCATATAAAATATACGATACGATATTCCGGTCTCGGTTCGTTCGTGTATTATAATAGTAATAATATATTATGACGTAACGTCGCCGGCAGAAATTCGAGTAGATATTTCCGTTTTTTTTTTTTTTGTTTTTTTTTCTCCATATATTTTACATTCTATTACTCCCACGGCCCGAGAATAATAATATTATAACGAGTTATGATGTAAAAACCGATACAATACGCGACGGATTCGGTATCCCCTTTGTCGAGAAATTAATTTCGTTAACACCGCCGTAAACGTCGCGATATATTATAAGTATTTTTTTTTCATTTTTTTTTTTTTGTTTTTTCTGTTCGCCGCCGTCCCCGTTACGCGTTTTCTCCGAACCGTTGCGTTTCGCGCTCGGTTTACGCCGTGATGCATTAGCCGCGTTTGGACGTTTTGAAAATATGATATTATACAGATCGGTTAAAAATTGAAAACGCGCCGATCCGATAGCCGAAATAATCGATTACCGTTGCGTTTTGTATAGCGATCGTATTATCGCAAAGGCCGCGGTCCGCAAAGGCGCGGGCGACCTGAAAAATAAAGTTCGCCGTCAACCGTGCGGTTCGAATGTAGTAAAAAAAAACCGTATCGTGCGGTGAAAAAAATCAACTCGGGCTTATAGCAGTTTAGAAACGGGATTTTTACCGTAGAAAACGGAGGACTTGTTCTGCGCGACGTTGGTTTTTCATTTTCATGATTATTTTTTTGGAAAATATTTCATTGTTATAACAATTTTACAATAACGGAATAAGAGACGCCGGAGAGATTTCGAAGAAAAAACTTAAATAAATTCTTCTTCTCTGATTATTTCAGATTTGTTTATCTTTGTCATAGTCCACCTATAGAGTCTCTCGTCATTTACAATTGTTCGCAAATATTATGCAATATAATATAATCATAAACCATCGACGTTTAAAAACTGATTGAAAAAAAAAATATTTTATCAAACAAATTGATACGAATTAAGAGCACAAACCCGTAGCACGTTTTTCAAATACATACAATATACAATATAAATACGTAAATACATTGATACGACCAACGGGAACAACGGAACAAAATTGATTTTCAGAAAAGATGCTACACCTGAAATCGGTGTAAAATTTCATTGAACACTATAGTCGATGTATTTAATTTAGATTAACACACTTGTATTACTTAGAATCTAAAAAAAAAAATGTTAAAAAAAATTATTAAAACAATTGTAGATGACTCAAAAACTATAGGTAATTAGNTATAAAACCGTCGTGATTTCCCATTAAATATTTGGCAATATATAATGATATTTATTCAAATGGCGTGTAAATGCGTTTGGGATAATTGTGTTTACTTTTGTCAAACGGTAAATACTTTATTTATCGCGCGTGATACTTTACGTACGGAATATTAATCGAAACAAAATGTTCATCCGGTAACACTCGTTGTTGTTTGGTCGTATTGTAATAACTGCAACGCATGACGATCGTCATCATTCATCCACGACATTTTATCGGAATTCGTCAAGATCATACGGACAAAAGCCATTCAACATCGTTTCACCTTAATCCGTCTACAATTAACCGAAGTAGCCGCTTATCTTTCAGGTTTCACCATGAACTTCAGTTATTTAACATATATTATGTTAATGTTTATTTGTTCNGGATAAGAGCCATAAATTATGTTGGAGTAATTTAGGATATTGTTTTTGTTGTAGAAGAAAATGTAACTTCCTTCATCCTAAATATAACAATATAAGTTGTTTGAAAAGGGCATGTTGGAACGAAGAAAAACAATGCGCATGTTGCAAAATGAAATGTAAATAATAAACGAAATGGAATGGCGAATACATATAATACAACAATTTAATGAAAATCGTGGCTTCTGAATTTTTTAGAAACTGATTAGATTATTTGGTGGTGTGAGGGGTAGATTTTAATTTGAGAATTATATGTATCGCCGTTTCAATTAACAGAATATTAAAATACGTCGTTGTTTTTTTTTCTCTTTTATAATTATAAAATATTGTTCTTGCCGATATCCTTTTACGATTGGATGCCGGTTTGTGTGAAAAATGTTCATCGTATTGTTTGCTCAAATTAACGTAACAATATCGAAGGGAAATGCGTTACACTTTGACACCAATTTTCACTGTAATCAGTAAACGAAGCACAGTCTTTTTAACGGTAAGCGGTATATTATAATATTATTAAAAACGATTGTTCTTATTGAACGTAAGGTAACGAATTTGGTTATTGTCAATAACGGTGCTGAGATCGTTGTTTATACTACTGAAAATAATGAAACTTTTATTCCTATACATTTGTTAGATTTTCCTGTAATCGTTTTCCACTTTTTATGAAAGCCAATTGGAAAATCATAAATACGACCTGCTCGTTGCAAAACTGGACCCGAAAAAAAGATTTCTTGTCATTTTTGGACTGTAGCAAGATTCGTGATAGCATTGTTACTTGTAGGATCGAAAGAAATCAAAAATCACACTCAATATTTTCTCAATGTTACCAAGAGATAGTTTTGTATCAAAATGAATACCAAGGTCATTGACAGTATCTGAGCTGTGTATTTCCTAATCATTTAAATAATATTTCCCTATGATGGGAATTTTTCCTAGGGAAAAGGATAAATTGATACAACATTTATTTATATTAATCGATAAATTGTTTTAATACTCCTGCACTCATGGATATTATTCAAATTAATTTGTTGACATTATTTGTCTTTTAGTTTTTTTATTATCATAAATATTTATGCGTTGTCTGCGAATAAAAATATATTAGAATGAATAATAACTTTTGATAGATCATTTATTAAAATAGAAAAAAGTAGTGGAGATAAATAATCGCCCAATGAAACTCCCGAGGCAATTTTAATCAGTTAGAAACAAAATTTGTATGCTTGACTTGATGGTTTATATCTAGACGTTAACGGAATGAATATTATATTGGTTTAAAAAATGTAAAAAAAATCAAGCTTACCCAGATAGCCTGGAATCGATTTATAATCACCGAAATTCCAATCATAATTATATTAAAAATAAAGGTAATGTATCAATATTATTATATATAAAAGTAACATCAATAGGTGGGTGTAACAGGTCTATCGAGGATAATGGATTTAAGTTTTATTGTATATCGATTGTTGTAACAATTGATAGAATATTGTCAACAAGATAATTTTTGAACAAAGAAAGAATTAATATTACAGATTTAAGCTGACAGTAGATTGTAGTCCCCAAACAATAAAAACAGAGCAATAGGATGTTTGTTGAGTAAAAATTCAACAATATCAAAATAGTTTGCGAACACATTTTCCGAAGATTGATTAGGTATATAATACACAGGGCCAACAATGATTATTTTTTCGTATAGTTTTACACGTACAATAACAATTCAATACTATTATAGTATTATCATTACCATAAATAGGTTTTGAGATTATGTTATCGCGAACAGCTATTAAAATCCCACCACCTCTAGACAAAGAATTGGTGTGGCTGCTCCTGTTTCAGCGATAAGTTAAATAGTCATTCAAACCTAATTCTGATCTTTTAATGTTAGATGTTAACCAAATTTCAGTAAATATAATATAATAATGTACACATAGAGAAATTTGAGCTTTTAATTGATTCATTTTGTTATTTATACTACTAGTTTCTGAATAATAGATATTAAAAATTGAAGATCTAATTGGTTTTTTGATTAACTGACAATTTTAGGAATACCCTTAATATATTTAATTATAGTATTGTTTTCACATTTTTCACAATGCTGTTGTAGTTCTTCCCACAAGTTAAATGTGTTCTCATTGCATCATATTACGGTGATCGTACTACGATTTGACAACAGTTGAATCCCTTTCCATGTTGATGACGATTGTAATTGTTTTTGAAAACGCAGAAGGTAAAATACATCAGATTGATCAAGTAGTTTGATTGATCGTGGCTTATCTGCCAGTAGTTTAGTTGGCTTATTCAATCGATTAAATGAAAAATGTTCAATATTTTATTTGATAACAGTTAGTAAGTTTTTTATCCTTGTTTCATCATGATTCTCATTAGATTCAAAAAGGTAAAATAATATTACATGACTTTCGTCTGTCAATCATTTTTAAGTCAATACTACAGTCTCATTTATTTCGTGTAGATTACAAGTGTCAAAATAGGTTTAGATACACAATTTTCGTCTTCGTTTAATGAAGAACGCAGGTCCATTTCCTGACACCCCCACCATTGAATTTTGAAACGAAACTAGGAGTCTTTTTTTGTGCAGATTTGGGTCGATATTTTTGTGTTTTTAAACTTTCATAGATGCATGGAAAGTTCAACGGTGAAGTTGCCGGGTAAATGAATCAAAACAAAGCGGTAAAATTTAATCAAAATAAACTGGTGTTCTTATGCGGTTTACCGTTCTATTTAGTGGTATAACGCTCAACCGAACGTGTTCTTCAGTTGGTCGAACGTATTCTTCATTGTTTTTTTGGTCGTGTTCGACCTTAAATTTGGGTTCGCTTCGGCGTCCACGGAGGACAAAATACGCACAGATACCCGCGAAACACAGTCCCGCAACGCCGACCGCCGCCGCATGAATTGTTATATTCGATACCATGGCAAATGTTCGAGTGCCTAAGAAGATGTATAAGTTTATAGTACGATATTAGTAATCGTTTAAAGGTGTAGTCGTACCTATTCTGTTTACCGAAATCTCGTTGAAATTACAGCTAGATATCGAATGTTTTTTTCGCTCAGTATTGACCGATAAGGATACAGCAGTCTAAGTCAATGAATATTCTCCTATATATCGAAACTAAAAGTAGCTGAAATCGGTGAAAACTGAACATATAACGGACAATTGATTAAAAAACTGTAATAAATATATTAATCGAAACTAGAATGTTTTGTTCGAAATATTAGTTACCTACACCGTCCGTTTCTACAGCAACGATGCTTTTACGTATACAGACATTTGACGAATATGGGAGGTAATTCCTAATTTGATATAAGTTACTATAAAGTTTGATTATTATCACATTAGTTTTATTGTGTTTAGAAAAGTCTCGACTTACTGGCTTTTTTTTATCAGTTCATCGGTTAATAGAGGTTAATATTGACGAACAATAATACAATAAAATAGATTTTTTTGACCACTATAATTACCGCTAATAATGAACCGTCTATTATATTTTTAAACAATTCTGTGAAGACTACAAAATTAATCTACAGAGTACCAATCAAATTCAAAACAAAGTTCGGTTGAGGTGTTGCTTTGTCATCAATATATATGGCGTATTTTGGTAAAATAATGACATATGCATTAAACATTTTCTTTAATCATATTTTTTTATTACATTGCACCAACCAGAAGAACTTGATTTTCAGAAAAGATGCTACACCTGAAATCGGTGTAAAATTTCTTTGAACATTAATCATTGTAATCATTTTAAAATATTGTATTCCTCGTATTAATTAGAATACAACAAAAATTAAAAAAAAAAAATAGAAGTTAACGCTAAATTATAATTTGATATAAAACCGTCGTGATTTCCCATTAAATATTTGGCAACATACAATACTATTTATTCAAATGGCGTGTAAATGCGTTTGGGATAATTGTGTTTACTTTTGTCAAACGGTAAATACTTTATTTATCGCGCGTGATACTTTACGTACGGAATATTAATCGAAACAAAATGTTCATCCGGTAACACTCATTGTTGTTTGGTCGTATTGTAATAACTGCAACGCATGACGATCGCCATCATTCATCCACGACATTTTATCGGAATTCGTCAAGATCATACGGACAAAAGCCATTCAACATCGTTTCACCTTAATCCGTCTACAATTAACCGAAGTAGCCGATTATCTTTCAGGTTTCACCATGAACTTCAGTTATTTAATATATATTATGTTAATGTTTATTTGTTCAATAATTATTATTTCCGACTCGAAATGGGAACCTTTTGGTCTAGATGTACGATGTTGCAAGGATAAGAGCCATAAATTATGTAGGAGTAATTTAGGATATTGTTTTTGTTGTAGAAGTAAATGTAACTTCCTTCATCCTAAATATAACAATATAAGTTGTTTGAAAAGGGCATGTTGGAACGAAGAAAAACAATGCGCATGTTGCAAAATGAAATGTAAATAATAAACGAAATGGAATGGCGAATACATATAATACAACAATTTAATGAAAATCGTGGCTTCTGAATTTTTCAGAAACTGATTGGATTATTTGGTGGTGTGAGGGGTAGATTTTAATTTGAGAATTATATGTACCGCCGTTTCATATTATAATATAATATAATAAAACAATATTAAAATACGTCGTTGTTTTTTTTTCTCTTTTATAATTATAAAATATTGTTCTTGCCGATATCCTTTTACGATTGGATGCCGATTTGTGTGAAAAATGTTCATCGTATTGCTTGCTCAAATTAACGTAACTATATCGAAGGGAAATGCGTTACACTTTGACACCAATTTTCACTGTAATCAGTAAACGAAGCACAGTCTTTTTAACGGTAAGCGGTATATTATAATATTATTAAAAACGATTGTTCTTATTGAACGTAAGGTAACGAATTTGGTTATTGTCAATAACGGTGCTGAGATCGTTGTTTATACTACTGAAAATAATGAAACTCTTATTCCTATACATTTGTTAGATTTTCCTGTAATCGTTTCCCGCTTTTTATGAAAGCCTGGCTTATTTTCTTTTTTACGTTCATAATTAAATGGGAACAATTATAAGTTATAACTGATATCTTTATTCGCTATATAATACATTAAATAATAAATCGTAAATTAATATAATGAACGTGTGGTATTTTTTTTTAATGTACAATGATTATTATTTGACACTCGGCTTTACGCAAGCGTTATTTGTTTACCAGTTAACATTATATTGTGATTCACCATACAGTTGATTTGATGGATCGATTTGAAAACTAGTCAATATTAAAATGTATACAGTATACGCACTTATAGCTTATTATAATATATTACCACATACTATAAACTGAGAAAATTTCCTATGATAAAAAAGTGTTTACTGTTTCGTCATAGGTCACATCAGCCAATATCCACGACAGATATGTGATTTATGAAGATTTTTTCGTTGGCGTCCGTAGTTAATTCATAAAACGCATATAGTTTGTTTACATAACACTTCGTTAAGCTATTTGATTTGTGTTCGTATGGAAAGTATTGTAATGTGTTTTTTTTTCCATCAGAAAACTATACGCTCGTATTTTCGTTACGCGTATTGTTAATGCCGTAAAAATAAATCGCGCGGTAAAAACATAATACTCTGTTGTTTCATGATTCGAAATATTTGTGCATAATAGTTTAATGATAATTCAGTGACTACCGTTAAATTAGTAGCGTCAATATTTTGAATACGACGATTTTTTTTATCCATACACACACACACATATATAACCTTTGTACACTCGCATTCCATATAAATATATTCTTATGAACATGTGAAGATGTTAACATTTAAGCAAAAATAGAAAGTCAGTAGTGGGCAAATAGTGCTGTTGTTTTTTTTAATACTGAAAACGACGATAACTTTTTTATTTCGAAAAACGATCTCAGAATTCATTATGCAATTGTATCGCTTTTTAACGATATTTATTTTGTGAAATTTGTATATATTGTCAAAAACGTATGGCTCGCGGGTAGTAATAAATAGTTTTATACATAAACCACGTGGTCAAGGTGCGAGTTTATTCGATTATCCGCAATTTTTATTAGCTAACAACATTCCCAAAAGACGGATGACCACGGAGACAAAAAAAAAAAACACTGAAATTCGGCGTTTTTGGCGATTGTAAAAGTCTGGATTAATCCAACAATCATGGATGAATTATCCGATTTAGAAGTTCTTTATCACAGCCTTAGAGGAAAGGTGTTACATTATAATATTATCCGTTGCATCTCATTTCATTTTGGAAATTCGTATTTGTTTTGTTCTTCATACAATCCGGATTTGGATTAATCCATAAATTTGTTTAAAATGGACTAGGTACTAAAAAACTAAGTTATTAAAAAAAAAAAAAAAAACATAATACATAAAACCAGACCGTATAAATATATTTTTATTTTGCACCTTCCGAAGTACGACGGAGTTAGAGAAATAATAACGGACGAACGTTAATCGCGGTTATCGAAGTACTTAGTGGTAACGAAGCGAATCGGCGTTGAGACAAACGATCGGACGCATTGTATTTGAACTTGTTAGACGGTTGAATCGTATGAATATTATCTGAGACGACGGAAACCATCAAAATATATCGGAGTGAGTATTGGAATATTTAATGATGACTGAGAGTCGAGCAATTTAATTTAATATAATATTTGAATATTATTTTGTTAGGATTTATTCAAACGAAACAAAACAGGCGTCCCTTGTGTGAAAAAGGTTTATACGATACGGTAGCAAAATAGCCGATGCCGAGACATATTTATTGCTATCGATGCGTTTGACGATCTTGACACGTTATTGATGGAATATGATTATAGCGGAGAACACGTGAGAATTTCCCGAGTCGTTTCTCGACGTAGAATATAATCTTTCGCCATACATTTAATTTCCGATAGTTGGATAATTTGTTTTGTTGTTATAATATGATTTTAGTTTAGATTTTGAGTGTAGCGAAGAATGTATTGGTTTTATAATGATGTTTATTTTATTTTTATTTTTTTTATACAGTGACGAAAATTTCTACCGGAAATATTGCTCCGATATGTAAGTGTGGCACACTTACAGAAGGATTTTGTCTATACGGTACTTATTAAGGAGGTCATTTTCGGAAAAATTTACAAAATTAATGTTTTTTTTTTTGTTGCACTTCAGTTAAACATATTTGTGGACACTTGAAAATTGAATAGACAATTTATAATTGCTTTTTTTAGACGTGGTAAAATTTTCAAAATATTTAAGCCATTGTTGGTGATCGACATTTTAATTTTGCGAGTTTATTACGTAATTTGTATTCAATAGATACTTTGTGGATACAATTGTTAGACTAAACAGAAATGTTTGAACATTTGACAGGTGGCTCATTATAAATCGTATTTATAGTGTTAAAAAAAAAAAAAAAAAAAAAAAAAAAAAAATGATTGTCATATAGTATTATAGTAGTTATGTTTTTTTTTTTTTACATTTAAGTTTTAAAATCAAAGGCTTAAAACCGTAAATATTACGGCCTTTCAAAACACGTATAACCGAACTTCGCTCCGAATCGTTTGTCGTTAGCAATGGTTTATCGTTATTGCTTACAAATGTAAACTGAATAGTTCTATGTATTCTATTTTCCTGATTTCTCACCTACAATAGTGGCGCACCCGTTATTAGCTCTTTTTTTTTTTTTTTACATTTATCGGTGGTTTTGGTATCTACAAGACGTATACAATCGTTATATTTTTGAATTTACAATGATTTTACGTGTTTATAGCAGTAGTTTTAAATAAACATAGTTGTATTAATACTTAGGTACTTTAAAATGTTTTTTACGAGTCTTTTCGAGAGAAAAATGTTAGGTACGCTACGCATTCGTTACGGTTAATTATACAGAAAATTAACGCAAGTGCATTGCGCCGAGGCATGATTACATTTTTCGCCTTAGGATAGGTCAGGAGACGGATGACGAGATGATTGCGGCGGCGGGTACTTGCGGGAAATGCAATCGAGGAGAAAAACATAACCGCGAGTGACTGAAACAAAAAACCAAAACAAATGTCAATAATAATAAAGTATACAGTGTGTACACTGAAACAATTAAATTAATTATATAAATTATAATTATATGAAAAACCATTGTTTGAATTACAGTATTTTTTTTTTTTAGATTCCGAGCGTATTGGTTTTATTAAAATGTTTATTTCTTTCTTTATTTTTTTTTCTTCTAGTCTGTGGACACGTTTTATGCTAGTAAACTTGCTACAATTTTTACATGTAGCAATATTCTTTGAAAACTCATGTTGTCTAGATAGTACTTTAGAGAGGTCATTTTTGATTTTCGACGCCATTTTTTAAATAAAATCACTTAATTGGGAATAAACATAGGAAAACGTTCAGTTGCACGATTTCATTATTTTATAAAAAAACACCGACGGCGTTTTCTACCAAAAAAAAGCCACTTTTGAGCTTTTAAGAAATTTTTATTTTTAGGAGTTATTTTGTTGTAATTTGATTATAAATAGTAGTAGAACCTTGAAACTTGGTAATAATACATATATTGGATTTACTTAAAGGCGGTACAATTTCCAAAATGATCGGACGAATATTTTTTTTTTTTAATTTTTTTACAATGGTACTTTTTTTATATACTGTAGATCACTTTTATCCAAGAAAACTTGCTCCGATGTAAAAGTGCAGCATCTTTTCTGAAAGTCAATTCTATCTACTTAGTAAGTATATTTTAATGGTCATTTTTTAATTTTTGAAACGATACATAAAATAAAAACGGTTAACCAGGGAAAAAAATACGATTTTTTCGCGATTTCGTTATTTTAAATAAGTACCTACCACGTTTTCTAGTACAAATATGGTTTCAATTTAAAAACGACAAGAGACCTTTTGTGTTGAACTATCAATATTGTTTCTCAAAATTTCGTTTTTTTGATTTTTGAATTAGTTTTCATAATAATCGAGAAAAAACGTAGGAAGGATAGGTTAAAAAAAACTGCGGCACTTCAAATTATGTATTACTGAACTGCGCTCGGAATCGTCTTTCATCAGCAATGGTTTATCGTTGCTTACAGATATAAATAAAATAACCTTATATATCGTACCATCCAAAATTCTCACTTACAACAGTGGCCGTTCCAGTTTTAATATTAATACTAATATTAAATAATTAAATAATGTTAATATTAATACTATAGTGATTACTACGCACGGGAATAACTTTAAAACCACTATGGTGCTAAAACATTTGTCAAAATATTATTACTATGGAATTATTTTTAACTCGATACTCGCATAATAATTTGTAAACTGCGACGGAACTCACTGTGTTAATATTAAAAAAAAA